TTGAATTGTCCTGGATTTAGACTGGACATGATCCTATATGGATAATTGTTGATAAGATAACTAGGTTAGCACACCTTCCAAAAGAAATTATGGGCTCTATGGGTAAGATAACCCCACTAGTGAAAATGGATTGGTCAATCAGAGAAAGTTACTTTCCGGATGATCACATGTGGTGATACCGGATGATATTGAAATTTGGGAGAACTTGAAGACTCACATTGGTACCATTGAAATACTGGACTGCAGTGAAAAGAGATTAATAAGCAAAGCAATCACTATGTTAAAGAGTCAATGGGAAGGTCGTATACCTAAAGAGGCTACTTGGGAACGGAAGGATGAGATTCTCCGGTTGTATCCTGAGTTAGGAGACAAGTATGACTTAATTTTGCAAACAAAATTTTAAAAAGGAGGGGTGAATATAACACCTCATATTTCTAAATGTATAATTATATGTGAAAATATGGATTAAAGGGGTAGGATTAGTGAAAATCCTGAAATTAGGGTCAAAATACGTAAAAGGGTAAAATGGTAATTTACCAAAAACGTGACCCTAGGCATGAAAAATTGAGTAGAAGGTCTCAAATGGTAAAAATAATGCAAAAAAATGGATTCAGGATGGAAAATCGAGTGGATAGGCAAGTTTTGGAAAATTTGATGAATTATGATTTTTCCGGTGTAAAATACTGCGTGTATTTGTACCGATAAGCGTGCAAATATGATCAGTATTTTTAGGAAATAAAAAATGACGTGTAGGTCCTATTGAGATCCTTGACCGCACTGAAAAGAGGCTGAGAAGCAAGAATATTCCAATGCTAAAGATTCAATGGGAAGGACGTACACTTGAGGAGGCTACTTGGGAACGGGAGGATGAGATTCTCCGGCTGTATCTTGAGTTAGCGGACAAGTATGATTTAATTTTGCGGATAAAATTTCAAAAAAGAGGGGTGAATATAACACCTCACATTACTAAAACAAATATTAATATATTAAATATGGATTAAAGGGAAGGATTAGTGAAAATTCTGAAAATTAGGTTAAAATACAAAAGAAGGGTAAAACGGTAATTAGCCAAACATGTAACCCTATGAAGGTAAAATTGAGTTGGAGGTCTCAAATGATAAAAATAACCCTGAAAAAGGATTCAGAACGCAAAATTGAGTGGTCAAGCTAGTTTCTGAAAATTCGGTGAATAGTATTTTTACCAGGTAAAAATATCGCGGTACAGTTGCACCGTAAAGCGTGCCGATTGAATTTTGAGCTCTAGGTTTGGATAAAAGTTATAAATGGTATATAGGACTAGGAAGTATGAATTCGGGTGAAAATTGATGGAAATTAGTAAGTTTGGGGAAACGTATCCACAACGCCCATAACAGCTTCAAACTGTAATTTCTCCGAACGATCGGAAAACACCGGATTCATATGATCAAGGGAAATTAAAGGACAATGGTTAATGTTAAAAAATAGAGTTTCTAAATAGGTTATGAAATTATGGACGTTTAGTGGAATAGGTGAGAGATTTGAATTAGTTTGAAATCGCGTGAGGTGGCGGTGAAAAAAGCGCCTTGAAGGCCGTAGGCATGTGAGAGGGAAAAACAAAATTTTTCTCAAGCGGAATTACGCATACCAATTCAAGATACATGCTTTAAGAAAGAATGTTACCTTGTTTGTAATTCAAAACTCGAAGATGATCAATGTTAGGCTTGAAGGTTCAAACCCTCTAATGTTGATCCACACCACCCTTTGTCAAGATGCAAGAACCGTTCTTGAAAACTACCAATCGAAAACCCAAAAGGAAGCAAGCTAGGCGTCTCAATAGGAGAGGAAGGAGGCAAGGTTTCAAGGTGTTTAGATGAGTGAATTTTCAGCAAGAAAAATCACAAGAGTGGCGCATAGAATGGTAGGAGAAGTGACAGGTTTTTTTTTTTACCCTCAACCCTTAGCCGAATTCACCTTTAAAAGGAGACTAAATGAGGATTATATGCTGCTGATTTTGAGTCATAAAATCACTCCAAAATCAGATCATGGAGCGCAAAAATCATGTTGGTTTTGAGTCATCAAATCACTCCAAAATCAGATCATGGAGCGCACAAATCATGGAGCAGAATAAGGCTGACAACCAAGTCAATTTATTGGTCTAACAACCATCATATGGCTGCCTATTTCAGAGCCCCATTCAGCCACAAAATCCTCTCCTAAAATCAAGGACATGATTATGATAAATGCTAATTGAATTCAAATTCAAATCTAGCTCTTATCTTCTCCTTTTGTTATGAAACAAAACTTTTATAGTCAATTTAAATTCAAATATTTAAATTCAAAATTTAAATTATGAAATTAAATATTAGATAATTAATTTAACTATTTAAATTAATTAATAATGTCTTGGACTATCCAAGCCCATTATCACCATCCCTGCGCCTCATTGCTTCTTAGGTAGGCTTCCAAACTTCTTCTTGGGCTAAAAACTATTATTTGACCCAAAACCTTTAATGCTATAATGTCAAGACAATAAGGTGTTAGTGTGTGACCCATTAGGCCCAGCATAGCCACTAACATAAATGGGCTTGGGCCCAACAAGACCACAACCCATTTAATGACAATACAGAGTACTAGCAATGCTTTGTTGCCCCAGAGCTAGTTAGGTTAATGACATGATCATCCTATTAAATGAATTTGGTTACCGTATGTATTTCTTTTCGTCTCGGTTACCTTCCCATTAAACCTAGGGTGAGGAGATGTATCAACCCCTGCGGTTTAGGGTAAGCTTTAATTTGAAATAGGGTATTTTCAATTTACTGACTCTAAAGGCAGATCATCTCATGATCTCTTTTACTATGCATAGATTCCCGAGTCCCGTAAACATCATCCTGATTTCTCCGATTTACAGATAACCTAATCTCTCACAGAGATTTGACAAATTCCTTCAGCTTATCACCCTAGGCTTGTGTTCTTTCAGGACATCCTCACTTATTCACACTTCAAATTGGGGGATTCACAAGGGAATTCAAAGAAAATTTGCACCAATAATGCAATCACCACAAGGACTTAAACACAGTTGAAAGAAAGAAAGAAAATATATTCTATCAGCTAACCAAATCATAGAGACTTAATAAATCCTTATCAATAATGGAATTACCAATATTCCTAATAACAAGAGTGCAGAGAGAAATTTGAAAGAGAGAGAGAGAGAGAGAGAGTTGGTAATTTTCTTCTATGCCTTCTCATTCAAGATACCCCTACATATTCTACTTTGTCCTTTCATCAACAGAATCGTAACAGACACAACATCAAGGCAATAACAGAAACACAATAAGCAAAGGATGGCACCAGCAATTTGGATAACACTGTAAATTTTGTATTTAATATGGGGACTTAGCCCTTTCAACAATATTCACAGACCCACAATCACAATGACGATTCAGCAACAGACTCTATATCTCCAACAAAATAACAATAGTACAGACTCAACTCAAAATATCAACAACACAGACTCAAGGAGGTAATTACACTAGTAATGACACTAATAACTAGCAAAGATAAAAGACTACTCTCCATATGGAACAACCCACCTTGCAGAGCTACCCCAATTAAAATTCCATATCCCCCCACGATCTCCCACCTCTCCAATGTAACTAACTCTCCATTTTCCTTTACGTCTCTCCCACTTCTGGTTCTCCATTCACAGCCTGCCATGTGTCCACTTCCTTAACCATTTTCTCTTCTTTCTCTTTCGTCACCGTCATTCTTTTATTTTCCAGCCCATCCTCCACTTCACCACCTTTTTGCCCGGCCAACTCAGCAGCCACTTCACCACCTTGTTTCACAGCCAACTCAGCAGCCACTTCATTATCTGTTTTTGCAGCCACTTCATCATCTGTTTTTTCTTGTTGAGCAGCCACTTCATCGTCTGTTTTTGCTTTTTGCTCGGCCAACTCAAGAGTCACTTCACCGGAATTATTTAATATGTTCCCGGGCCATGATCTAAGCCAATCAAAATCAAGTATTTTGGGTGATATGTATAAGGAGGAGAGAGGAAATTTGATTTTTTTTCCCCACGTGTCAGCCCGCCAATGGAAAGAGCACCTCGAGCGAGTGCATAAAGAATGTGCTCCACTTCCCCACCTTGTTGCACAGCCAACTCAATAGTCACTTCACCACCTTGTTGCACAGCCAACTCAATAGTCACTTCATCATCTGTTTCTGCTTCTTCTTGGTCGCTCTTTCTCACATTTTTCATCTTGTACACATAATTTAATTGTACATAAGAAAATAAAGGAAATTAAGAAAACACAGGTATTTCTAGGAGCTTCTCTTTTATGGTTTGTCTTTTATGGTTTGTGTTGCTACAAAGTGACTAAAGTGCAATGCTAGCTACTACATAAGAAAGATATTTCACCTATAATTTTTTGTTGTTTCTATTCTGTTTATTAGGAACCGAACCAAACCAAACTTCGAGTTCATGAAAAAAAAGCACTTTACCTATCATTAATCAAGTAAATAATAATTCACTTTAATAAGCACTTTACTCCAGAACAAAAATGAGGAATTTTTTCTAGTAATTCCAGATCTTTAAAAAAAAAGAAAAAAGTCTCCTTTTTAACAACAAACCACAATTAACAATACCCTCGAAAGTATTTAACCTTTTTAGTCAAGAAAACAAGAGCAAGGATGAGAAAATTTTCTATAGTAAATTCAAATAATGGTGAAGAAGAAAAATAAAAGAAAAGAAAAAACAAAGTTTTCTTTTAAGCAAGAAAAAATACATTAACAATTTTCTCACATCGCAAGAACTATAGTTTTCCTTGGAATCCAATGTAAAGAATACATGGTAAATCAACCATTAAAAGAAATCATTCCTCTATAAAGTATAAACCCCAACTAATCAAGATAGAGATGAATTACCCTTCTATTTTTCAATGAAATTATTTTGATATTGGAACAGGTGATTTTGAGTCACAAGATTAATAATAAATAAAAATAAATGGGTCTTTTACACAAACTCACTTGTGTTCCTCTTCAGTCCATGCCACCCCTTTCTTTCTATGGGTACCACTGTTGTTCTTCACCTGCACCGGCGGCAAGTCATCAGAGTAAAGCGGTAATGGGACTCGACCGGCCTCAATCTCCATCAAGTCATGGACCAACACGCGATAATGTTCCCTGACCTCCGCCGGCGATTTTCCGGGGACAAGAGCGGCGACTTTCTCCCAGCGCTCCGGCTCCGGGAGGTCTTCCGGGAAGATGACAAGAGCGTCCTCAAAGGCAGTGTTCTGCTCCAGAGTCCAGTGAGTCAACACTCCATCAGCATTAATGTAACTACCCCCGTCGCATGCATCAGAGTAAAGCGGTATGTCATCGGAGTAAACCAGTAATGAGACTCGACCGGCCTCAATCTCCATCAAGTCATGGACCAACACGCGATAATGTTCTCGGACCTCAGCCGGCGATTTTCTGGGGACAAGAGCGGCGACTTTCTCCCAGCGCTCCGGCTCAGGGATGTCTTCCGGGAAGATGACAAGAGCGTCCTCAAAGGCAGTGTTCTGTTCCCGAGTCCAGTGAGTCAACACTCCATCGGTATTAATGTAACTACCACCGTCGCATGCATCCAAGGGCTACCCATTATTCTCTTGCTGTGGAAACTGAGACATTCTTTCTTTCTTTCTTTCTTTCTTTTCCTTTTCGTTGATTAGTTCACTTTGAAAGTCTTTGTCTATGCCTTTTATTCAGAGTTCAAAGACATGAATTCAGTTAGCTTTAAGAGATGATCATGCATGCGTCCAGAATATTCTTTACGACTAACTTGCTGAGTCAGCAAATTACCCTGCAATGTTTCCTCAAATTACCCTTAGTTGTGTGCAAAAAAACTGGTTCTCTTATCTTGTTCTTGACCTTACTCATAAATACTTTTTTTTCTTTTTGAACTAGTTTTAAATACTGATCCACTATTATTTAGTTCAGTTTTAGACCTGCCTTATTTTTTTACAATTGACGACTCATACCCATTATGTGAAAAAAAAACACAATTGTAGTTTTAGTTTTTAGGGTTCTCACTTCTCGCTCTGTCGATATTCTTCCACTGCACCGCAGTGATCAGTCACCGCAATCACAATTGTAGTTCAAGGTATACTTCTCAACTTTTGTTATGCTCAATCCCGAGTTAATTGATTGATTTAAACTCATATGGTATGATATTAACGATGCCATGTTTTGCTATAATCGTCTTTGTTATTGGCTTTGGATCTAACTCTCTGATCCTTCCAACATCTCCTCCTTCATTTTCATAACAAGCAGTAGATTTTCTTTCTCTCTATTTCTTCATTTTTTATTTTATTTTAATGATTTTTACATAGTAGCTTTTTTTTCTCTTGAATTTCTTTGTTCATCTTCTCCCCGATGTAACTGATGTAAAACTGATGTAACTCGTTGTATTTGGATTTTAAAATTAAATAACTTTTTTTTGTTAAAAAAAATTATATTCCTTTATTTATTCAATAAATATCAAATTTATTATATAATTTATATATTTTAAAACAAATAAATAATTAAATTATATGAGTTTAAAAATTAAATCAATGACTATACAAAAAAATAAAAATAAAAACATGTTTTGAAACCAATTCAAAAACGGGCCAGGTCGGATTTGACTGATTTTGAAACCAAATCAGACCCACTTCAGAAACCAAGTCAGGTCAGATCCGATCCGATTCTGAACGAGTTCAAAAAAATTCAAACTAGGTCAGACCTGACTTGGATCAAATTAATCCAGGTTGGATCAAAATATCTGACCTATAAAAATCAAGTTGGGTCAGGGCGACACAAAGAAATAACCCGACCTGAGCGATACACACCCCTAATCATATCAAAATGCTAGGTCATGAACCAAATTAGAATCAATCCATTAAGCATGTATTAAATTCATTTGACTTAATCATGGTGGATAACAAATAGTTTTTTTCTTTTCTTTTTCCTTTTTTTTCTTCTCTTGATTAGAAGGAGAATGAGCATTGTTGGATGAGCACTATGCGTGATATTCAAAAAGACAATAGAAATAACAGGGCATTGCTGTATCGAAAGTGTTGAGAAATAATAGATCACTATAACCTTTTTCAACTTTGTGCTGAAATTAGTATAATAGACAATATCTTATCTATATAAAGCATTTCAAATAAGAACTACCACCTCCAAATCCAAAACCATGTAATTAACTTTTCACTTTACCAATTATAAAGCATTTCTTTTCCTCAATTTTTAAAGGGTATGTCAACACTGCAAGGTATCGCAAACACAAAACATGGACAACTAAGTCCTATACTGAGTTAATACAAGTGCGAGGATATGAAAAGTTAGTTCAATTAAATGCAAGTTACATTTAAATTGATAAAACAAAAGATGCCCTATAACATCAACAAACCTTGTCAGTGCATAATCTCTGAACTTTTTTTTATTCTAACTAAAATGACTCCCAAGATTCTTGGAACCTTGGTTATTACTGCTGGCACCATCGAAGCTTTTTATTAGCACCTTGTGTTAAATCCATAAAACTCATAGTGCTCTTTGAGCATTATGCATACCCATATTTAATTTTGTTCTATGGATCTCTAAAAAGCACAAACAGCTTTGGAAGGTTTCTTAAGCATCCTCGTACAAACTAAACGGGATAATGAAAATCCTTCATTTGCACTTCCAACAATCTGATATAGCAGCGGCAGAAGTGGATTTTTTATTATAATGATAATGGATCAAACCTTTTGGAAATATGAACAAATCACTCGGTTGAAGGCTTTGGGTGTGAAGTGTCTGTTTAATGTCAACAAATTCTACTTGCAGGGAACCACTCGCAAGGAAGAGAAACAATATTGATGCTACCAGCAGGGTACTGAAACATTGTCTATTATGGGCATGAAAATCAAACAGTAAGCATATTTCCACTAGGTATGCATACAGAAATTAAGAATATGACTTGTTTGTGTTAAATTATAATGGTTACTTATATTACATGTAATAAGTCCATGATACGTGACTTCGAACATGTGATTTAATGAGAAAATATAAATGAAAAGAGTATCTTGTGTATAATATAAACTCCAAAATTGTATTGAAATGAAGGATTCTGATTTTAAATGCTAATGGGCTGATATTTGTATTTTTCAGGCCCAATTACTGATTTTGTCAAAGTAAAGAAAAGAAAGAAAAAAAGAGAACAAAGAAATTGGGCTGGAACCTTTACAACAAAAATCAGAAGAGCCTAAAAGCAAAGAAAGAAAAGAAAGAAAAGGACTGGCCCGATCCCCAAATCAGAAGCCCAATCCAAAGAAGAAAAGAAAGAAAGGGATTGAGAGTAAGGAAAGCTCATACGTGTGAAACCAAAAAGAAGACAAGAACCGATACTTGCAAACCCTAGCTCCTGAACCCATCTCTACTAGACCCTAATTCCAAGCCGATCCCTCTGAATCCTTTCACCAATCCAGGACGATTTCGATCGAAACCACCAAACCTTAGCCTCAGCCACGGTTTATTTTGTGACCAAACCAACCAAAACACCAACCCTAACTGATTTTTGTGCGATATAGAAAAAAGCCAAACACGTCCCTTATTTGATTTGTTGAGCTGGAATTTGTTAGTAGTGCTGGCTGGAGATTCCTTTGGAGAGCGTTTGCTACTCGTGCAAGGGAAACGCACGATTGAGAGGAGCGTGGAGCATACGTACGGGTTGAGGTGTGACCTGTTTTGCATGAAGGAGGATCGGCTATAAAGGAAGGAGAAAAAGCATTGTAAGGGTTCTTCTTCTTCTCTTCGTCTCTCTAATTTTATTTTTACAGTTTTTCAGTTCTATTCTTTTTTTAGGGTTTTTTAATTTGTAATTTTTCTAAGCACTGTAGCAGAGCTATTTTCTGATTATAGCTTCTGCCTTTTAATTTTCATTGTTCGTACGTTTTAATTTTCCTGTTTTTATTATGGACCCTTGCTGTTTGTATGCTCATAAACCTTTGGTGATGAGCTAAATTTCTTAGAGTTGGGTTGAAAGAGTACCCAGAACTCATTTGTTATTAGTTGCTATTTTAAAGCTTAAAATGTTAATGTCCAGTTTGTTTACTGTGTATTTTTCATTCTGAATTTATTATGTGATGGCCACACATAGGCTACTCCTAGTGGTGTAGAATTATTGGGAAATAATCCACACTAGACCTCACTATAAGCACATGGAAAGTTGAGAGAGATCTCTCTCAATGGGTATGGCTCCAGGGATGAAGTTACCCCCATGTAACTTAAGGAAATGGTGCTTCAAGGTCTTGTGATAACAGATACATAGGGATATGTCATCTGTTATCTATGGGGGAAAAACTGTTGTTAGGAAACAATGGTTGTTTTAATATTTTAGTTAAGCTGGAAACAACATCTATTTTCTGTCAAAGCAACCTAATGGCAAATGATGGAAGGGGAAATTGATATCCAACTTGTTTCCAAACTCTGTTTTTAAAATCAATTTTTGTCACTTGGTATTTTTGTTCAAACCACAAGTTTAATTTTCTGTTTTAAACTTTAAGAGAAAATCATAAAAAAAAAAGTTTCCAAGTTTTCCATTTAATTAACTTTCCAGTTAGTAGTTCAAAAATTCTTTCACCAATTAAAGTTCCATTTTAAAAAGGAAATCCTCACAAAAATATTTTTCTTACACTTGATTTAGAATAGCAGTCATTTAATTTGATTTTATTTTATTTTATTTTTGTTCTGATTAGCAATTACAAATTTATTCAAAGTCAAAAACGCCAAAGATCCTTGTGGGAACGATAACTGGGAACCACAAAAGCCCTATATTACTTGTTGTAGCGTATACTTGCGTTGTGCAATTTCGTAATCAATTAAATCACACAAAAATGCAAGTGCACGTATCAACAAGTAATAGAGTGGATGTGTGAGTCCAGATATCGTTCCCACAGAGATTATATAATGCTATAGCTTTCGTGAAGCAATTAAGGTAACAAATATGATTTGTTGAGAAACTAAAGACTAATTTAACATTTAAAAAGTAAAGCAAAGTAAACTAAGGCTACTGATTAACTCAGCAAAAATTCAGTATCAAAAGAAGTGTTTCAAATGTATCAAGACAGATTGGGATCAATTTCCCCACTATTGTAATGTCACCAGAATGCAGTAACCATACTGCAGTAATTAACCAAACAGCAATCAGAACACCAATGCATGCAAGGGCTCTCACCATCAATACATGTATATTAAGTTCCACATCTCTATGGTCAACAAAATTATGAATTATTAAGTCCAAGTTCCATTTGATTTTGTGGTGTGAATGATCTCTCTACCCACAATTAACTAATTAAATTAGTTAAACCACAATGCTTAATAACTTTCTGAGTTCACCTATATCTCTATAGCTCAAACCCTAATTATCTTGCAGCTCTCTCTCGATAAGTCAACAAGAATAAAAATAAGCACTTTATTAAGAAACTGAAAGGAAAATCATGTAACAAAGTTAAAGCAATACTTACTACATTACAATAAGGGTACTCTATCACCCAGTCCTAACAAATTAGCCCATAATAGGGTGAACAGAAACAACAAGGGAAGAATAAGACTCCATAGATCAAAAGTAAGGAAAACAAGGACGATGTTGTAGCACTACTATCGCAGCAACCATGAGCTCCACCACCATCAACCTTGCCTCAGCCGCCGGAATAGTGCAGCAAGTTACTGGGTTCAATGATCTCTCAACTGAACTTCAGCTTCCTCCTTTGATCCGCGAGATTTCTCCCAACGAACCCTCAAATTCCTCCCAAGTGTTTCATCCACTTTCTCTCTCTAAATCTGCCTCCAATTGGGTGTTTCAAAACATATCAGCCGTACGTTCTTTGTGTGGAGTTTGTTCCTTTATAGCTCTAACACTCTGGGCTTCAAACATCTCTTCTAGTCCATGCAAATCATCACTCAAAGCTTCCTTGTGATTGATTGAGATTGGCACTCTATTTTACTGTCAAGCTGACAACATGTGCTATGGCATATCTCACAGGATTCTTTCCATATTTACAATTCAGATTTGAATCCGATCTGTAATCATTGATTTGATGAAGATAATCTTGTGATTTCTTGATGATGTTGAGCGCGTCTTCAAATCAGATCTTTTCGTACACGTTCAGAAGCTTAATCAACCGAATTGGTGCTAGAAACCGGTACTGGCTTGGAAAAGCGCGTACCGGAAAAGTGCTCAGAAAATTATAAGAAAAATATGATAAATCTTAGAAAATTATGTAGTTTCATAATCCAAAGTTTGGGATTAAAATGCTAAGCGTAGCAATTAAAGTTAATACTGTGTGTTTAAGTGGCTTGGGCTATAAATACCCATTTTTTAGGGCACATAACCCTAGAAAACAGAAAACCAACGTGAGAGGGAGCTGATCAGCTGCTTGGTGACTGCCCTATTGGCCTTTCCTTCTATTCTTGAACCAAGTCTTGATCTTTCTTGATTTTCCTTCATCCTTTCACTTGGGAAACATCTTGAGAGGGTGTGAGGGTGTTGTGCTTGAGGTTTGGCCACTGTTTAGGGGCTGTTTGTGCTCTGAGTTGGGGTTTGGGTGGAGTACCTCCTTGCTCATTGGGTTTTGAGGCTTAAAGAAGCTTTCTTGTTGAGTAAAAGGACCACCTTGGTATACCATTTTCGTGTGCAGAGAGAGACAGAATCTTGGAGTGACCTTTTGAGCTCCAAGAGCACCTCTTGTTGGCTGGTTGAGTTTTCGTAAGCCTGGTCACCTTTGGTCTTAAGTTTTTGAACTTAAAAATGAAAGCTTGATGCATGTTAAGGCTTAAAGATGATAACTTGTTGTTGGTTAATGTTGAACACACCTAGAAATGCATGTTTAGGTGTTTAAAATCGGTAAAAACCCAACCTTGGAAGGATATCTTCACGAAATGCATTTTCTGCATTCTGTCATGAAATATCCGGATATGTTCCCGATGAATATCCGAATATGTGATATCCGGGTATGGGTTTTGAGTATCCGGATATTAGATATCTGTATATTGCATATCCGGATATGGTCCCGAGGAATATCCGGATATTCTGGGATTTCGAAGAACAGTAGCTGTGTTGTGTGTACAGTAAGCTATTGGGGGTTTGTGGACCCTAAATTGATGAAGTTGAACTTCTGTAATTAATGAACTAAGTCAGAATCGTTGTGATTAAGGACTTATGGCTTGGTATGGAGCCTTAAGACGTAAAACGTAAGGAAAGGCGTTGTCTTTAAGTTATATGCTTGTGTTGCATTATTATTGATATAGTATTGGTCCATAACATATTGCGAATCTGCTGTGTTTGGACTTTGAGTTGTGGACTCTTGGCTTTTGGAGTTAGCTTGCAAGGTAAGCTTTCGTGTCCTCGGTTTAGCCATGTTGTGGTTCCACCATGTCCCATGGGGGTATGGTTTATGCATGTTGTGTACATGCTTTTGGATATTTGATATGTTGATTGAACTTTACATGTAATGGCTTTTAATATGCATGTGTTGTTTCTTCTTGACGGGAAGCCTGAGTATGTAGCGCCATACAAGACGGTGTACCGGGGTGAATGCAAGTGGTACTTGCACGGTGTGTAGGTGATAGACGTATACATGCACTGTCTCTGGCCAGTAGATTAGTATTGACACACATGACATGATTATCTGCTGCATTGCATTGTTTTAGAAATGATAAATGATAAACTGTTTTTGAACTTATATTGCACATATAAGTGAGCTTGGGGTGGAAGATCCTTGAGGACTCACTGACTTACTGAGATTTCTAGATTAGAGATCTTACCCCACGTTTGGGGAATGCTTATTTCAGGATCAGGTAGTATGGGTACTGATGCCTCAGGCGGCAGGAGGCCGGAGCTTAGCTGATTATGTTGTTTCTGCTTATTTGTTAGCATGTCTGGATATTGATGCTAATTATGTTTTATGCCTTTTATAATTATGTTGTTGTTGAGACTGATGTTGGGCATGTTGCCTTATTTGAGTGAACATGGGGATTGTCCATGACACTTTCTGTTAGTACTTGTAGTTTGGAGTTGTATAAACTGTTAGATGGTCCGGTCTACGTTGTTGTAGTTCCGTGACTAGAGCCACACTTATATTATCTATGTTATGAGGTATTTCAGTTAGCTGTTTTATTGCAATTACATACAGGCGATGTTTTATTAATTGATTATTAAGAAAGTTGGTAATGTTAATGGCATCATACTTGAAAAGAAAAAGTAATTCCGCATTTTAATTAAGCGCAGCTTAATACGATATTATGATAACATTACCGGATATATACGGGGTGTTACATTTATGGTATCAGAGCAATGGTTTGAGGGAAAAGCCTGTATGTATTGTAATTGCTAAGTTGTTTGGTTGTGTCTGTCTTTGTGTTTACTCCGTCGAATTTTATTATGATGATGTATATGTGATCACATTGCGTGGGCCTGATCAACTCATAATTTGTGTAACTTGTGCAGAGTCATGGTAAGGTCCGGGAGAACACGAGAGACTTCTGAGGATCAATCCGATCCTATCCTGACTGCATTGGCTGAGATGCAGGCGGCTAGGTTAGCCGATCAGGAGGCCGCTAGAGTGGCCAACGCGGCAATGATGGAAGCTGTTCGCGAGGCGAACCGGATAGCCGCAGCTGAGGTTCGTGAAGCGAACCGGAGGACCATTGAGGAAGTCCTCGAGCCGAACAGGATGGCGAACATGACGATGATGAGAGTCATGTTGGAGGAGATGAGAGCTGGTCCTGCTATTGGCCAGGCTCCACCACCGCCGCCGCCACCGCCACCGCCTCCACCTAGTGTTCAGGAGGAGAGCCATAGTCACATCGGCAGTGCTACTCATGCCGCTGAGACGGGGGAGCCCCTTGTGGGGATTGCTGAGGATCGTGATGTGATCGATCGCCGGCTGAATGCTTTCAGGAAGCATAAGCCACCTGTGTTTGAGGGGTCTCTGGATCCTATTGCTGCTGCGAGATGGTTAGAGTCGCTGGACAAGATTTTTCTGGTCATGGAGTGTACAGACCCACAGAAGCTGATGTTCTCGACCTATATGCTGGAGGGCGATGCCCATAAGTAGTGGACGCACACCTCTCGTGCTTTTGAGAGGCAGGGCCGTGTCATGACGTGGCCATTCTTTGAGGCGTGCTTTCAGGAGTTGAAGGAAAGATTGACTTCTTCACCTGTGTTGATCCTTCCTGATCCTGAGGAGCAGTTTGAGCTTTACTGTGATGCTTCTGGAAAGGGGCTGGGCTGTGTGTTGATGCAGTCTGGTAGAGCTGTTGCTTTTGCTTCGAGGCAGTTGAAGCCTCATGAGGAGAACTACCCGACTCATGATTTGGAGTTGGCTGCGATTGTGTTTGCTTTCAAGATTTGGAGGCATTATCTTTTTGGTTTGAGGTTTGTGGTGTTCGGTGAGCACAAGAGTTTGAAGTACCTGTTCGACCAGAAGGAGTTGAACATGAGGAAGAGGAGATGGATGGAGTTCATAAAGGACTACGACTTTGAGCTAAGGTATCACCCTGGCAAGGCCAATGTGGTAGCTGATGCTTTGAGTCGGAAATCCAGTAGTTCATCCAGTTTGCTACTTGGTAACTTCGATGTGGTTGATAAGTTCCGCCACTTGGCAGTGACCGCTCCGTGTGCGAGCGTACTTCTCGGGTTGGAAGCATCAGATGTTGTGAACGAGCTGCTAGAAAAGATTAAAGAGGCACAAGTTCAGAGAGAGTGTTTGGTTTATGTGAAGAACCAAGACGGTGTGTCTTGGAATGATGATGGATTGCTTTTGTTCCAGCGGAGGATTGTGGTTTTTCGAGGTCCGTTGACAGAAGAGGTTATGGCAGAAGGCCATAAGGGTCAGTTTTCTATCCACCCTGGTGCTACTAAGATGTATCAAGACTTGAAGAAGAATTTCTGGTGGCCGGGAATGAAGAAGGACATAGCTGTGTTTGTGTCCAAGTGTTTGATCTGCCAGAAGAAGAAGATTGAACACCAGAAGTCGTCTGGTAAACTTCAACCTCTCGAGATGCCAGAGTGGAAATGGGAGAGCATTTCCATGGACTTCGTTGTGGGTTTGCCGAAGACTCAGGTTGGCTGTGACTCGATATGGGTCATTGTGGATAGACTGACGAAGTCTGCCCATTTCCTTCCAGTGAAGGTGAGCTTCACTACAGAGCAGTTGGCCAGATTGTATGTTCGCGAGATTGTGAGGCTTCACGGGGTGCCCGTGAGTATCATCAGTGATAGGGACCCGAAGTTCACATCTCTGTTCTGGGAGGCGCTGCAGGGAGCTTTTGGTACGCAGTTGAGACTGAGTACAGCCTATCACTCTCAGACTGATGGACAGACTGAGAGGACCATCCAGACCTTGGAGGACATGTTGCGGGCTTTCACGTTGGTGCAGGGCTCGGTATGGGATAGGTACCTTCCATTGGTAGAGTTTTCTTATAACAACAGTTTCCATGCTAGCCTGGGCATGGCACCCTACGAGGCGCTCTACGGTAGGAGGTGTCATACACCTACCTGCTAGTCGGAGGTTGGGGATCGTGAGTTGTTTGGCTTGGACTTTGTCCAAGATACCACCCTGCAGATCCAGATGATCAGGAAAAAGTTGAAGCAGGCGCAGAATCGTCAGAAAAGCTACTACGATGTCAAGCATCGACCACTGGAGTTCAGTGAGGGTGAGCACGTGTTTGTGAGACTTTCACCTGTCACCGGTGTTGGACGGGCACTCGGAGTGAGGAAGCTGAGCCCGCGCTTTATTGGGCCATACCAGATTCTTGGTAGAGTAGGACTTGTTGCCTACCGGCTTTGCTTGCCTCCGAACCTGGCCAACATCCACGACGTGTTTCACGTGTCTCAACTTCGGAGGTACATAGTAGATCCTTCGCACGTGGTGCAACCGGATGATGTGGAAGTTCGGGAGAACTTAAAGACTCCCGTCGGACCACTAAAGATTCTCGATCGTGGCGAGAAGCAGCTGAGGAGCAAGATCATTCCGATGGTCAAGGTGCAGTGGACCGGAAGGACTCCTGAGGAGTGTACTTGGGATCGTGAGGACGAGCTTCTCCGGCAGTACCCCGAGTTTCGACCAGGTATGTTTCTGATTTTGAGGTCAAAATCCTAAAAAGGTGGGGTGAATGTAAAACCCGCACTGTTAATTAAGGTATTTAATTAATTAATTATGCAAAATTAGGAAATGATTCCATAATTGACCCTAATAATTATTATGAGGCTTTAATAATTATAGTAAGTGAGTAATAATGCTAAAAGTCGCTTTTCGGAAGAAAAGTGCAGATACCAGTTCTGCTAGTCGGTATAAATGCGTGCCGAAAAAGTATCTCGGAAAATTAATGTAAGTGCATGATAATTACTAGAATAATATGTAGGACTTGTAAAACGAGTTTCAAGTCCAGATAATGAGAACTGGTGCTAGAAACCGGTACTGGCTTGGAAAAGCGCGTACCAGAAAAGTGCTCAGAAAATTATAAGAAAAATATGATAAATCTTAGAAAATATGTAGTTTCATAATCCAAAGTTTGAGATTAAAATGCTAAGCGTAGCAATTAAAGTTAATACTGTGTGTTTAAGTGGCTTGGGCTATAAATACCCATTTTTTAGGGCACATAACCCTAGAAAACAGAAAACCAA